TAATCTTCATCAGCATGTTAGTGAGAATTTATCCGAATACACACATTACATTGTTCCCCAATGCAACATATTTTTGTACACTATTTTCACTAAGGTATGCATTTTGATGCACACACTACCTCAGTACATGTGGGTGTTTTTTGTTTTGTATATATCACTTGGCTAGAGAACTACATTGCAAAACTCAGAGAAGTGTGAATTTTGAAGGACGCCTGTGTTTTGGTTTGAGTATTGTTTCAGAAAGTGTAGATTAGGCAAGTTTGTCTCCAAATAAGAACTGAATCAAATTTCTGCCCCATCCCTATCAGCAAAACTGTGCATGCTAAAACATGCTGCAGAATCATCCCCAAAGAAGAAAGAGCAAGTGTCCTATAGCAGTTGACAGGGAGGGGCTGAAGCTCACTGTTCTACAGTAATAAGGGAAATGAAGAGACCCAGGAGCCCCTCTTGCAATATTACAGCTGAAGCACAAAGTTTCCCACATTTCCTCTCAGATCTATTTCTTTCTAGTGGAAATGCCTCTTTGGGAATTAATCCCAGTGATAACTGATTCGGCGGAAAACTGAGAGCCAAAATATTATCCCATTCCTTCTCCTGCCCCCATCCCTGAGGATACCATTTATGGCCTTCAAATTCCATTCGACTCAAGGAATCTTGAGTTCTATGGGAGTTTCTCTTCAAGTTTTCCCATGGAGGTGTCTTCAGAAGCTCCTTGCATGTATAAAATCTAAAGGTCGCCTATCTCTGCCTTTTCCAGAAGATAGTTATCACACTGTTGCTTGAGATAATTAGGTAGTTAATATTTAATAATGAGGCATCTGCATTACAGCCAAACCTGAGCCTACGGCCACCTGCTATCCATGGTCACCGGTGCTAATAGCCGGCAAAATCACATCCCTGCGAGATCTGCTATCTGTTGCATATTACTTTCCTCTCTAATAGGCGACCACCTGCCTATCACACTTCTGGACACCTGTGGGCCTTCCCAGCTGTGTAAATTGCTCTGCAATCAAGAGCCACTTTGAGAGGGCAGAATATTTCCTATCACATTAGATGTTATTTGACTTCCTAATCGCCAAAGAGAGAAAAGTCATTCGTTTGACCTTCGATGGTATGTTTGTTTGTTTGCCATCAAAATGCATGGCAGTGCCCCAGGCTGGCACCAAACGTATATAGATGGGGAATTACTTGGTCCCTTTTATTTTATTTATTTGGGGGAGGGGTGTAAAATACCACCTGTCACCAAAAGCAATAAATGAATAAATAAATAATCTCTATGGAGGCTGTTATGACATGCAGGACTGTAATCCATTAATGGAATCTCTGGCTAAATTCCCAGTGAGATATCTCAGGGTTCAAGCATTTATGACAAGTCATCATTTTAAAGATGTATGTGTTCCTACCCAGCTTTGAGTGTTGAGGACTTCAGCGCCAGTACAGCATATGAGTCAGCAGTAGGTCTTTCCTTTTTGGCATCTTCTCTAGAATAGTCAATTAGTTGTTTGCTTAGGTCATTCAGCTTTACAGCTCTCTAAGCTGAAAACTGTTTCCAGCTGATACTTCTGAGCTCAAGGTGTCATGCTCCAAGGTCTTCTTCATGGAGACCAAGAGAGTGAAGATCAAAAAATGCCTTGTCTCATTGAATGCATTCCCACTAGAAGTAGTACTATGCAATTAAAAAATGATAATGATCAGCCTTCTGGGAGGAATGACCAGCGACTGAATTATTTGTGCAGCTCAATGTTAAGTATATTTGTTTAGAACCAAGTGCCACTGTGTTCAATGTGACTTATTCCAAGGAAGTGTGCATAGGATTCTGTTGACTGAGTCCATCTGATCAACACTTACAGGCAGAGGAAGGTTCATCTCAGAGGCTCGAGTGGGAAATTTAACCAGTGCCTCTGGGATTCAAGTACAACTTGCCATCCACCTTTTGGCTCTGTTGGAGAATGGGGAAAAATAAAAAAGACTGCACAGCACATTGTATTCAAATCCATAATACTCATTTAGGGTTCTCAAAATCCATGGAGAACACTCCTTTGGGGACAGTATCCCTTCAGAATTCATGTGGGAGATGGTGTGCTTCAATGTTTCCCAATGTCAATACTCCCTATCCAAGGAGGAAGCTTTTTTTTAAAAAAATAATAATCTGAGAAAGCATTTGATTCATCCACACCACCATTTTGAAGTTGCTCAATTCAGGAAGGATTTATTGTTGCATGTGAATCCCTGTGCAATGATTCCTGGAGTCATCACAGCGTCTTTTCCAGCCACCAGGAATGACTGAGTTACTTATTTGAAATATTTCTGCCTCTCCTCTCATGTGCTTGCATTGTCTCACAACATTTCAAACAACTAAAGATACCCGTGATTATGAGATCCCCCCCTTAACACATGAAGTTTTATATGTGAGGGCTTCTTCATCATGGCTAGAGACAGACAAATATTTTAAAGATAACTGAAAGCAATGTGAGAGGGACAGCACTTTCCACAGGGCACACACCCATTTCTTTTGCACCCCCCCCCATCCCATCAGCTCAAATGTTGCTGTGGGTTTTTGAAGCAATGCAAAAATCCTGAAAAACCTGTTTTTCGGAGGTGAAATCAAAATGAGTATAAATGTCGTTAGCTTCAACCCCCTATTCAAACCACCTTGAAGTCTCTGAAAACAAAGCAACAGGGACTGGGAGGGAAAGGAGTTCCAAGATGGAAGAAAGGCAGAATATAAATGTACTAAAAAAAAGCAAGTACACAAAAGAGCAAAGAAACAGGGATGAACAGCCACTAAGAGATATATGATAGCTAGCAAATATAAACAATGAAAAGGTAGACAGTGGCTCTGGCTTCCTGATGTTTTTGTCTATGATTCCTCCAGCAGTCTCTTCTTTCTGTAACTTGGGGAGGGTTGACAGTAAGGTCTGGTCAATACATGCATGGAAATGGTGTTGTAAACTGCAGATGGCCATTCACATATTTTAATGTTCTCCTATGTAAAAACTCCGGTAGAACAGAGAAAGAGACCATTTCCTTACTTCTGTGCTACCTGTCCATGTGTTTTGAAGATCAATTGGGCCTCTGTTATCTCCACCATGTGTCTATAAGGTTCAGGCCTTGTCTAGCTGTTTGACTCCAACCTGGATGCCATGGAACCTTCCAATAAGGTTCACGAGGTTGTACTTTCTGCAAGGTGTTCTGTCCAGTCTCAAGAGAAATTAACAAATACAGAGCAGATAGAGGGGACGGAGATCAGAGTCAAGGTGGGATACAAGATAAAACTAGAGAAAAGAGAGAAGCCTGCTCCAATGACAATTCATAGGATTATTCTCTGAAAGGATAAGCATGGAGCAGCCTTCTAGATGTGTCCCAATAAGCTGAGGAAATTTGGGATTCAAGAGGGAATCTAGTTATAGGGAATGAGCTTATAAACTGGTGTTATCCTGACTTTGCAAAGGGAACTCATTAATGTCTAGAAAAGGCATAGGTAACATTTAATAAGAGTGAATAGATAGTGAATAGTTATGAGTTGTATGTATTTCTTGCCACAGAGTTGCAGCAGAGACCGGAGGAGTCTTTTAGCCCATGAGACATTGTTTTAGGAGGTATGGCTATATATACACTGCAGGGATCAAACTAGGATTTGTCAGAAAATGCAATTGAGAATGCTAACTTTAATCACTGCCTTTATATCCCCTTACAGATTGTTCTTGCAGTGATTTAATAGTGACCTGAATTCATAAAGAAGAGCATATGCTATCCACTTAGAAATACCCTAAACTTTCATAGGTCTAGCATAGGCCCAACATTTATCTAGGCTGCTACTTTTCCCTCCTGTACAACCCTAGCCTGCTTCACATTATGGGGCCTATACCAACAGTACAATCTATCTGAGACCAATAGTATGCATACAGTCCTGAAGTCTGCACCTTGCTTTGCCTCCATCTCTCATAGGCTGTAGCATTTCCTTTTAGTTCAGTCCTTTATTGCAGCAAATAAAGGCTATTTTGCTTCACTTTCTTCTTGTTTCTTTTTATATGTGAGTTGTTACACACACTCTGCCTATAGAAAAAAGGGCAGATACCATTTGCAAAGTATGTGGTAGATTTCTTTTAACATTTGTAGTTGGAGACAAGCTGATTGCTGCTCTTGACAGTATGGTTGTTAGGAAGCATGTGGCTTTTCCTGTTTCCTATCTATAATTTGGTGTGTTTTGTTGAGGGGGAGAGAAAGAAACCATTTAAGATCCAGAAAGAAAGAGATCAAATGCCATGTACTTTTTGCAGATGGCAACTTTATCACTTTGCTAATAATCCAGGATTTAATGTGCTAGAAAAGGACTGAGCAAGAAAAGGAACATCTTGCAACTCTTGTAAAAGAAAGTAGTCAATTGATTATCTGCAGGAAAAAGCTTACTAGAACCACAGGCCTACTGCACCACTACATATTGTTCATATTCCTTCTGTACCAGTAGAAAACAGCAGCCTTTATCATTCAACTCACTTCCCTAGATAACAAATGTGAGGGAGAGTGAGCATCTTGTCTGCTGGTTCTTTGCCCTACCTCCATATGTTGTTCTGAATATCTGTGACAGCCTATACTTACTCACAATCTATAAATACAAAAAGTATATGTTTTCTTGCAATATGTACCGTGCTAAAATACAAAGCTTAGAACCAATATATTTGCCAACTGTGCAAGTACCAAGATCTGCTGAATGTAAAGATGGCTCTTGATACTGAGATTGCCACATGTAGGAAGCAAACATTGAACGTATCTCAGGGGGCACCCACTCAAAGAGAACACTTCTTATCAAGACTGTTGAAACTAGCGATGTGTGTGTGCAATGCATAGGCTCTATACAAAATATCAGATGATGTTCACAGACAGGGTCGTCAGGCATGATCTCATCTCAACTGCCAACCATGCATAGAATCCTAGAATTTTAGATTTGGAAGGGATCATGAGCGTCATGTAGTCCAACCCCCTGCAATGCAGGACTCCTTTGCCCAATGTAGGGCTTGAACCCATGGCTCTGAGATCCAGAGTCTCATGCTCTGCTGACTGAGCTATCCCAGCAAATGTTCATTGTCCAATGTCCATTGTCCACAGAATTTAGTTGACTGAAGAGGGCTTGTCACTTTGAGCACACCTACACTCACACCTTCTCATGCTGGGGAGAATTACTTTGATATGTGTACCGACACAAATCAGGCCATACTGATTGCTCAAGTGTGGTGATTTGAAGATGAAGAAAAAGCTTCCCATCCCATACTAGCTCAGGACTGGCCATTGGGAGCCCTCTACTAGTATTTTGAAATTTACCTAGCAGTTAATTATCCATCTATGATGTGCATATTGACTCTACCATTAGTGGTTTATTTATGAGGTCTTAAAAAAAAACACCACTTCAAAAATAGAATTTGCTTTGCTTTCCAAAATTAATTCTGATTTCTCCCCAAGTGACACACAAACTTGAATGTTTGCCAGTAATACTGCAGAGTTACACTATATATCAATCCCAGTAGTTGCAAATGCTGCTGATCAGTGAAGGTCAGAAAGTACATCATCTGCTACACATCCACATTACCCACTTTCTGCTTTCAGTTTCTGGTACAAGCTGAGCATCTCCATTTAATGAGAGGCACCAACATATTGGAACCAATGCTGTATGATGGTAGCGTGACCAGATGTGGAAGGGGACTTTGTTCTACATAGCTAAAAAAGGGGCCAGAGGGACACTGGCAGGAGAGCCAGTGTGGTGTAGTGGTTAAGAGCAGTGGACTCGTAATCTGGTGAAGCGGGTTCGATTCCCCACTCCTCCACATGCAGCTGCTAGGTGACCTTGGGCTAGTCACACTTCGCTGAAGTTTCTCAGCCCCACTCACCTCACAGAGTGTTTGTTGTGGGGGAGGAAGGGAAAGGAGATTGTTAGCTGCTTTGAGACTCCTTAGGGTAGTGATAAAGTAGAATATCAAATCCAAACTCCTCCTCCTCTTCTTCTCTTTTGCATCTGGTCACTCTGTGTTGTTACTGAGAAGCTTGGTTCAACTGGGACTCTGCACATGCCCCAAGACTTTGTGTGTAATTTGGTTTTACTCTGCGGAAGGATCATGGTGATAGTGCATGGTCAGGTCTATTGTCATTCATATGGGAAAAGCTTCAATAGTTCCTGACAAAGGATCATGCTCAGAGGGACTGCTGAATAGCGGATTTCCCCTATGGTGAATGAATCACCTTAGTGCATGCCTCATTAATCCCCTGGAATCAATGCCCTATCCAATGCCTGCAATTGCCATTTATTCAGTTTTTAGGTGTCCCTTGCAAGTATGCAACTGAAGAAGTGGACTGTGGTCCACAGAAGGCTTCTGTCATAATAAATGTGTTAGATTTTTTTTTAAGTGCTACAGGTTTTTGTTGCAAGAGCTACCGCTCTGGAAATTGCTAGCCTATATTTAGCTTTGACCAGGAACTTAGACAATATTTACAGGTGGTTTTTTAAAATAGGTTCTGACACTACAAGATTGTCGTCCCTCCCCATCCCCCTTCAAGTCCATCACCAAAGTCAAATGGGAGGAGACGATATGAGGGGAAAGGAAAGATTGTATTGGAGGGACACATCTCCAAGCAGTTGGACATCCACAGTGGGCTCAGCTGGTGATGACTCAAATGATGACTTTGCTAGTAAAAATGGTATGCTGGATGAATGCTGGTTCACTGGAATTAATGATTATGATATCCTAGGAGGTGAAGAAATAAAACGAAGATTCATTCAAACATGACTAAAATTAGAAATTTGTATAATACTATTGACTTGGAACATGAGCAAAACATGGTGTGCATATCCATGTATGCAAGTGTGTGGGTGTGGGTACAATTTGTAGAATCACCCTTCAGGGTGAAGGTAACTTGGTGCTTTTAACAATATATATATTGTATATATAATAAATTTATATATAAATCAAATAATGTGATGTATTGAACATCTGAATTGTTCTTCTTTGGAGTCTTCCACGATCAACTGTTTTGATTCGATAAGACTTAGGCTGCAATCCCTTGACCACTTTTCTGGAAGCAGACCCTAATAATGGGGCTTGCTTTTGATAATTTACAAGGCTCATCTGTAATTGTTTTCAATTGTATGAAAGTCTACAAATTAGGATAAAATTACAATCCTGTATGATTATATTTGAGAGCAGGTTCTATGGAGCATAGTATTATGCTACCATGTATGTTATAATAATGGTAATCATTTAAAAAAAAAATTTTTCCTTTTCACTCTGTATCTACATATTGTTGCTGGAGATTAGAACATGCAACATCTGTCAGCACTAACACGTTTACTATTAACTGTATTTTTAAAAACACTATTAGGCATTAAAATTAGATGGGGCCTTTAATCTAGTTCATTAAAAGCAGAATTACCTTTTAATGGGAGTGCAGCTGCAGTAAAAGGTTTAGCCAAGAATGTCAAAGGCCCTTGTTACTTTCTCCTTCCTGCAAAATCCCACTTCCAGATCTCTATCTGAACCAAACTGTCTATTTCTGAAAAACTTCACTTACCCCAATATTTGACCTGTTAAGAAAAAAAATATCTCGAGGCCTGCCTCCGTTTTCGCTTTATCCAAGGTGAATACACTGATTGGTAGTTGCTGAAATAAAGTGAAGTAACTCTTTTCAAATGAATGAGTCAAATCTCAAGTAAAGTGATGCCCTACAACAATTCCCCATGACCAAAGTCTGCCCTTGTTTGGCTGGTGTTCTTAACACCAAAAAATCTCTTCCATCCACCTCCTGCCACACAAGATGCTTAAAGTGCAGGCAGCAACAGGTGATGTGATGGGGATGCTTATCTTCTGGCAGGTGAGTTGCTGCGGCTTACCATGAGGGAGAGGAGCAAGGCAGCAAGGAGGGTAGTGCAGTGCAGTGTAATCACACCAGTGGGAGCATCCAATTTGTTCTGCTGGTGCATTTGTACCATACCAATGTCACCACCAATGTCACTCCCCACTCCTGGTAAGTGGCAGTAAGTCACCTGCCAGGAGCTGAGGTAAGCAGTTCCAATCCACATTATTGGGTACAAATAGTATCAGTTTGTCGTGGGCTGATAATTATTAGGGTTGCAGCAAGTGTGATGGGGAAATTTAACAGTATTTTTTATTATGATTTGCAGAGCAGACACTTTTGAGGGTCTCTTTTACATCATCTGCTCACTCATCCTTTTTTTTCTCCAACTGGAGAAACCAGAGAATAAATCTGTGTGGGACATTGTGCAAGAAAAGCTGTACCATTGAGCCATAGTGGCTTTCTATTTAGATACATGCTTTACTATCATATACAGGTATACTCAGAAGTAAGCCCCATTGACAAGATCATGACCACTGGTCCCATCACCTCCTGGCAAATAGAAGGCGAAGAAATGGAGGCAATGAGAGGTTTTACTTTGTTGGGTTCCATGATCACTGAAGATGGTGACAGCAGTCACGAAATTAAAAGAAGCCTGCTTCTTGGGAGAAAAGCAATGAAAAACCTTAGAAGCAGAGACATCACCTTGCCGACAAAGGTCCATATAGTTAAAGCTATGGTTTTCCCAGTAGTGATGTATGGAAGTGAGAGCTGGACCATAAAGAATTGATGCTTTCGAATTATGGTGCTGAAGGAGACTCTTGAGAGTCCCATGGACTGCAAGAAGATCAAACCTATCCCATTCTTAAGGAAATCAGCCCTGTGTGCTCACTGGAAGGACAGATCCTGAAGCTGAGGCTCCAATACTTCGGCCACCTCATGAGAAGAGAAGACTCCCAGGAAAAGACCCTGATGTTGGGAAAGATTGAGGGCACAAGGACGACAGAGGACGAGATGGTTGGACAATGTTCTCGAAGCTACCAGCATGAGTCTGACCAAACTGCGGGAGGCAGTGGAAGACAGGAGTGCCTGGAGCGCTCTGGTCCATGGGGTCACAAAGAGTCGGACACGACTAAATGACTAAACAACAACAACAACAACAACGTGTCTATAGGATTCTAGTCGCATTCTTCCACTGAAATCAATGGGTCTTGAATATGTTTAAGGCGTGTCAAGGAATAGATGTGGTTAGAGGAACCACAGTATTTAATCTCATGCATTTCTGCTGTGGAAAGCATCATGGTGTGAATATAAGATGAATGAGAAGTCTGAAATAAAATTTAAAAAAATCTAGGAATGCTTTTAGAATGAAAATGCAACTGAATGGAAAAGGAATGAACAATCTGGAACGGTTCTTCCAATGGAAGAATTTTTAGAGATATAGACAAAACAAATAGGCTAGCATTACAGCTATTGATCTTTGCACTGAGCACCCTAATCCCCCTCTTTCCCCATAGGACATCATTCAGAGTTAATGGTCCTGAGCTCCTGATAAAGTCACCTATCGGATTGCCGGGTTAGGCCTATAATGGGGAAATAGTATTAAAAAAGGTGGACTGAGATAATCAATCCCCAAACTATTATGGGCTTGTAATTCTGAAAGGAAAGCTTATAGTCTTTTCCCAGCAAAAAGGCTCAACGACCACGGTAATGTGTGCTCATTTTGAAAGGTGCCAGAGATCACTCAGGCTGCTGCTGTTGCATTCAGAAGCAAATACAGTTTCCGTAATGATGACATTGGCAGAACTGTGAACTGCGAATTACAGTAATCCTGCCTAGATGTTGTTAAATCATGTAAAACTGTTTTCAGATCAGCAAGGGGGCAGGCAAGATTTAATCCGTGTTTTTTAAGAGGAAGAGGGAGGAAAGCTGATTTGGTATGATTTTAATTCATTAGGCTCTCCCGATCTCCATTCGTCAACAGAAGTCACAGATTCTTCTGAGAGGAAGAAAGCACATGGCTATAAAATGTCATTATTGGGAAATTTTATGAACAGGTTTTTTTCTTTGTATCCCTCCCTCTTATTTTAACCACATAGAATAGTAATAAGAAATGTAGTTAAGAATAGACTAGACTGGACTAGAATATAGATTGGACGCAAAGCTGCCTCTTCTGGAAGACAGAGGGATTGGCACAAAATCCTTGTGTCATAAAGGAGACCAGATTGGTGTTT